TGTGTATTTGGTTTTTCAGATTTGTGTTTATTAATATAAACATGGTGATGTGTTTTATTGTGTGTTGCCATTGAAAGAGTTCTAGTCATATTGTTTCAGAGTATTTATGTTTTGTAGTTTTTCCTACTTAACATAAATTGTGAGTCAGTTTCTGAGTGTATATTTTTCAGTGTTTATTATTTTCATTTATCAAACATGGATGATTCAGTATTCTTGGATTCAATTTCTACTAATGGTAATGATGTTTCTGTACCTATGCCATCTGTTATGATTTTACCACCTATCCCAAAAGTTTCAACTTTTAGTGGTGATGGTTCGTCAGTTGATACTCCTTTTGACTTTTGGAAATTTGAGGTAACATCATTGATCAACAATAGTCAGTTAGATCCAGCATCAGTTAAGCTGACAGTTTTTCATTCATTGTAAGGTGAAGCAGCACATGTTGCAGTTGACTTGGACATTCATCTTCAACCAAGGACATTTTAGATAGGCTAGAATCTAGATTTGGGAGAATTGAGCAAGGACAACAACTTCTTGCTGATTTTTATTCTGCTTCCCAACACCAGGATGAATCTGTATCACAGTGGGTATGCAGGCTGGAAGATCTATTGAATAGAGCTAGATCGGAAGGTGAAGTGATAGTGAGTTTAATAGGAAATTACGTCAGAAAATTTGGAGTGATTTTAAGGATAGAAAAGAAAGCCAGCATACACAGTAGGATTGATTCTTGGCATGCATCTGAGGTTGTTCAGGAAAGGATAACTAACTGTAAAATAATTCCTAATATTCTTAGTGATCATTCCGCAATCTCAATAAACTTAACTCAAAATGAATCGAAACGAGGCCCATCTCTCTGGAAATTTAACGCTACACTAACAAATGATTGTACCTTTACACAATTAATTCGCAATTCGTTACAAACAAGGAAAGAAGAATATTTTGATGTCAATAATTGCAGAGGCTTATCTGATTTTATAAAGTTGAAAATAAAGACATGCACAATCACTTACTGTAAACAGAAGCAAAAAGTTAAGAGAACAATAAAAGATAAATTAAGTCAAGAATTAGAAGAACTAGACAGTAACTTAATAATAATTAGATGACGATTATTACCAAGAAAACTGCACTCAATATGAAATTATATAAGCTAGAGTAGATAATATATACACTGAGGTAGCAAGAGGTGCCATTCAGAGATCTGAGATCAAAGATCCAATATGCTCTAGAGGGTGAAAAGAACACAGCTTTTTTCTTGAACTTGGAAAAACAAACACAAAAACTGATATTAATAACTGGAGACCCATAACACTAATTAATGTTGATGTTAAAATCACAAGTAAAGTTTTATGTACTAGAGTGAAACCTTTCTTGTTCAAGTTAATACACCAGAATCAGACTGCATTTACACCAACAGACATATTCAAGAAAATATCAGAATAATAGATGACTGTATCACATTAGCCCAACAAAAGCGCATATCTGGACTGCTTCTAGCAATTGATTTCAAAAAAGCGTTTAACAGTATTAATCATAACTATATGCTGGATGTTTTGAGATATTTTGGTGTTAAAAGGAATTTTAGACGATGGTTCAAAACGCTTTATAAAAATATAGAATGTGCAGTATTTAACAATGGTTATAGTACAAAATATTTTCCTATTAAATCAGGCGTACGACAAGGGGACATTAGGTCAGCCATTTTATTTAACCTAGTCTTTGAAACATTGTGTATTTCTGAATATTTCATACTGGTAATTGTTACTGTACTCCCAAATATATTTATTCTTGTCTGGCAAGCTATCTTTGAATATGATTTCAGAAAGAAATGTGATGTTACTGCTAGTGTCATACCTTGCTGGTCTCTCTGATTCTGAAAGTTTTAGTATACAGGAACAATGGTTATATTTATATTAGATATTATTTTTTTTCATTGGATTTATATCACCATAACTGCCATTGCCTCATCACCAAAACATTAAGCGTAGGAATTTAAACCAATTACGTCGTTATTCATTGCCATCATTGTTTATATTGGAGACCATCTATTTGATACAATCATGTCGGTAGTCCCAAACCTTGAAACGTAAAGAAATAGGCCCTACTTAAATTCATACTAAAGTCTTTATATCAAATTAGAATGTCTTGAAAACGTAAATATAAGCAATAAACTGTTACGCTATGGCGGTTATGGTCGTATATCAGGACAAAAGTTGCTGCAATGAAGAAATTAACAAATTAACATGGTAGTCTTTAAAGATTATCGCGAACATAATGGTCCATTGTTAAAGGCTTTGAAATTCCCCGTTGATCTAGGGAATTAATCCAACCATTACTCTTGATGAAACTGACATTTCTTTAGTAAAGTTAGAAGATATGTAGACCAAAATTCTGAGTATGCTACAAACTATTATGACTTTAAAGGGAATTAATGAAAAAAATTAATAGCCTGGCAAGCTATCTTTATTTGATATAAATAACGGACACAATTTTATGGTATACTACTCCTTAGTTTTATTACACACTACGTTTCACTACTTCACCTGAAGATGACAATGTAGATTGTTTAAACGTAGTGTGTAATAAAACTAGGGAGTAGTATACCATAAAATTGTGTCCATTATTAAATGTGATCTCTACCCCTAAATGTTGGTAAAGGATTATTATTTAATATAAGTTGTCGTCTATATTTATAGTGCAATAGAAAACTGCAGCAACTGAACAAAATTAAAGAAGCTCTAGATCAAATTTTAGAATGGTGTCATAGTATGTATGCATCAGCTATCAGATTCCACTTGAAGCTAACATTAACCTGTCAATAAACAACCAACCAACCAGCTATAAACAGGGTTGGTGAGTTTTTGATTTTTTTAGTTATATACTGTGGAACTGTCCTAAAATCATTTTTAAACGCCCACATGAATATGTGGTCATATGTTGTCGTCGCCCCAGTCCGTCGGTCCGTCAGTCAACATTTCTTGTGAGCACTATAGAGACTACAGGTTTTTATCTGATTTTGATAAAACTTGGTGTGATGCTTTAGATTGATAAGATCTCAGTCAAGTTCGAATATGACATATTTTCAATGAACGGTTTTTGAGTTGTTGCCCTTGACTTTGTAAAACGCTTCTAAATTTGTTTGTGGGCACAATAGAAGCTACAGTTTTCAACCGATATTGATGAAACTTGGTGTGATCATTGTATTTGATAAGATCTCGGACAAGTTCTTACTTGACGTATTTTTGATGAATTTTTTTTGAGTTAATGCCCTTGACTTTGTAAAAACGCGTCAAAAGTTGTTATTTGCCCTTGATTAGAGCTGTGTGATTTAATTGTTTGTTGTATTTGGGTTATTGATATTGATTTTTAAAAATTTTGTGGAATTATTCAGCATAAATAACTGGTATATATATATATATGTAATTGAATTCAAACTTAGTGACTAAAGTACGAATTTCCTCATATTGAAGAAATTCGTACTTTAGTCACTAAAGACTGTTTTATTATTTCTGACAGCTGCCAGTGGGCGTATGTTACCTTGCCTCGCAAGTTATTTTTTTTTTAACCAAGATTTGTCAATTAGCTCCTCTGCATTATAATGTTATGGCAAAGATGCAAACTAGTGTCTGTAGCTGGGAAGGAGTAGCACCTAGTGGACAAGACTTGTGTATATTGATAGTCTTAGTATTAAATTTTGTTACGTATTGCTTAACAAATTGTGAAAAATTATTTAGTTGATAAACTTGATATTTTGAACACAAATAAGGATGAAACATTTCCTATTGACAAAGCCTTCAAACTTGGAGCAAGACGTACCAGTAAATGTCATCCGATTCTGATTAAATGCAACAGACCAAAACAAAAATTAGTAATTCTGCATGCCTACAGATCCCTAAGAAATCATAATTCCGGTGCAGTGAATTCTTTTTATCGCGACAAGAATGAGGTCTATATGTGAAGGAGGACTTTAGTGAAAGAGTAAGGAACATCAGGAAGAAATTGGGAGTGTTCTTAATGAAAATTAAAGAAAGTTGTCCGGAGGAAAGGGTATCTTTAACCTACGATAAACTGATTTATACGAACAGAGCTTTCACATATGAAAAAAAATCAAACAGGATTATGGCCTGTGATGGGAAAAGTGTTCCAAATATTTTGAGAATTGATCAATAGGGGTGTGGCCAAGGCAATGATAGTACAAATTCACTCTCTTTATTTTCGTTAAATGTTAATGGATTATAACGACTTGTTAACAGTTCTTTTGTTCATATGTTATCTCAATATGACATTGTGAACTTGTCAGAGACATAGTGTAAATCAACCAAAGATTACTCACAACTACGACCATCTCATGAAGCATATTCATTAGTGAGAAAGTATGGGGGAAGAGGCAGAATATCTGGTGGAATTATTGTCTATATCAGAAAGAGTGTATCTTATCTGTTTGAGCGAATTCAAGAACACTGTAGTGGACAACTGTGATACTGTATGGTGTTTCCTATACACCTCCTGCTGGATCTGTTTAAAGTGATGAAGATGAACTGAATGGCATATTAAAACTTGAAGACTCTTTGTTATCAATCAAGGTCTCATATGGAGAAAATGTTGAATTTATTGTCACCGGAGATCTTAATGCCCGGATCGGATCGGATTGGAAAAGGACTATATAATTGATGATTCGGATAAATATCTTGTATGCAGAGACAATTACAGCGTGGACGAGTTTCAACTTTCACGTGAGTCGAAGGACGTTGTGGTGAATCAATATGGAGCAAGCCTACTATCGTTATGCAAGTCATTTGGAATCCAGGTTTTAAATGGTCGAGCTGGAAAGGATAAGAAAGGGAATTTTACATTCTCGAGTTCATCTGGTGAAAGCGTTGTGGACTATGTTTTTAGTTCCAAAAATAATATATCGTTTCATGGAAAACTTTGAAGTTCTGGCTTATGATGAGTCTGATCACTTCCCGACCTTATGCAAGAACTTTGTTAAAATCAAATACATCATGTCTGGGGAACTGGTAAAAAATAAGATGGAACGCAGAAAATGTTCAAATTTTTTGCAAAACCTATCAAGTGATGAGTGTCAACAAGAGTTTCAGGACTTTGGACTAATTCTGAAGGAAGGGCGTATTGATGATGCCGTTTCTTACTTTACCAACGTTTTCCACAACGTGGCATCTGATATGATTGTGAAGCCATTAACATCCCATAAACTAAGGGATCAGCCAGAATGGTGGAGCGTACAATGTGAACAGTATAAACGTGAAAAGAATCGTCGACTAGATGTCTTTCGGGCTACGAACAGTAAAGATGATCTTGCTATCTACAAGAAGGCAAAGAGTAACTTCAAGAAGATATGTTCCAACGCAAAGAGTGCTCATCAAGAGAAGATTAAGACTGTGTTGACAGACAACGACCAATCTCCTCAAGACTTATGGAGAAATGTGAAAAGACACTTAGGTCCGTATTCACAAACGATTAAAATAGTCATCGGTTAAACCTAATCAGTGATTAATTAGTCAATGATTAGTGGAAAACTTTAGTTGGTATTCTTGAAAGGTAAGATTAGCTAGTTAATGATTATAGAAATGTAAGAATTTAGTTAGTCTATGATTAGGTTAAACCACTGCTTAACAAATCTTTTGTCAATGATGTTGTGTGCACCTTAAAAGCTAGTGATATAAATCACATGTTACAGTTCAGTAGAAATCAAAATTTGAGTCATGAATGGAAGTAAAAAAAGGGAAAGGTCGTTGAACTGGTCAGAAGAAGAGAAACAAACATTAATTGACAATGTAAAGGTATATATTATTGACATTGAAAATAAGAAAACTGATGGAAATGCCAGCAAAAGGAAAGAAGAAGCTTGGAAAAAAGTTTTCACAAATTTCTGCATGGTATATGGCCAGGCTAGATCTGATATTAGAAAACTGAAAGAGATGTGGAGGCGCATGAAGGACCAAGCATAGAGGGAAATCGCAAGTCATCAAAGAGAAACCAGGAAAACTGGAGGAGGGGATCCACCAAAAGAATTGTCACCTTTGGCAGTATTGATGAAAAACCTTATTCCAGAGGATCAATACATTCGATGATGATTTTGACTTGGCATGTAGCTCTCAAAGACGAGTTGTATCACCAGTGACACAAGTGTCAGATGATGATAACAGTAACAATGCTACAGTAAAACGAGTGAATGAGGAATCTGTGGATACCATATATAGTATTGATGACAGTGACAATGTGTTTGACATTGATGTTGAATCACAGACCGAAGATAAAAATGACAGTAAAGAAACAGAATGTCCTGTCAGGAATGTTTTTGATTTTTTTTACATTGAATAAATTAGTTTTGGATTGGAAGTTAAAGATTCAAATGGAATCAGTCCCTTACATCTAAATGTGACCTTTGGTGTGCCAGCAAATCCTGAATAACATAAGTCACGCATCAAATATCTACTGAATAATGAAATTGTACACAAACTAAACATCTGATTTCTATTGTGAGAAGTAATGCAGGATAATGAAATCAGCTTTTGAAGTATTATTATCAATTTTGCTTTATTAAGTCGCAATGAATTATATTGTGGATAGAATCAGAATCATGATCAGTTTTAAAACTTGTTAAACACATACTTGAATTCAATCATATTAAATATTATTATATATTTCATATTTAGAAAACGGTCTTCATTTGGTTCAGATAATTCAATATCAGCATCCAAAAAGACCAAGATGGATATAGAGAGCACTATTCTGAAATTTTCTTCTAAAGAACACCAGTTGAAGATGGATATTATGAACAAAGAACAAAGAAGGTAGCTGAATCATTACTAAGAAAACTGACATCATCAGAACACAGTACCAATACATGTAGCCCTACTATTGATTGTGCAGAACAGTTTTCTTATTTTAAGAATAGTTATGAATAAGAAGGTGTTGGCATTTATGTTAACTTTCTTGAGATTTTAAACAATATAATGGCAATACCTACTTTATTATTATATCAGATACCTGAGACTACATTATTTGTAACGAATAGTTATCCAGTTTTATTTCAGGTTTGATTTTGACAATATTTTGGCACATGTTGAATTAGTTATATTGCTGTTTATACTAAAAATTATGTAATAAGATTGGTATAATTTTTTAAATGGCATTCCAAGCTCTTGTGCGAATTAATCAAGTAAATAACATCAGACGAGCACTTCGACGAGAGCGAGTTTTCAGAGATAGAGATACGATGACATTGATTTCCGAAAACGTTTTAGATTTACTAAACCAGTTGTTCATTTTATTTTGAACTTAATATCAGATCAATTGATTAGACCGACAGCTCGTAGCAATGCACTGTTGCCCTCAACACAACTTTTTATCACCTTTTATCAAGGTACAGGCACTTTTCAACTTACTGTTGGTGATCTTTGTTCAGTTTCCCAACCAACTGTTAGTCGGATAATAAAACATGTTTCAATAGCTCTGGGCAACCTGAGACCAGAATATATAAAAATCCCTGGTGCAAAAATTAAAATCAGATTGCTATGAAATAGATCACTTTCCAAATGTAATTGGCGCCATAGATTGTACACACATCAAAATTTGCAATCCAGGTGGCAAAGACCCTGCACGATTTATTAACTGAAAAAACTTTTTTTGCGATCAATACTCAAGTGATTTGCAATTCTAAAGGCAAAATATTAAACATAGTTGCAAGATGGCCTGGCAAGCCCACGACATTCGAATATTTAATGAAAGTTCTATCAAAGAACGTTTCTATGGCCATTCACTATCTGGTATTTTAGTTGCAGATCAAGGATATCCATGCCTTCGCTACCTTATGACTCCGTTAGCTAATCCAACTACGCGAGCTGATAGACGTTATAATAGAAGTCATGTGAAGACAAGAGGAATAATAGAACGAATATTTGGAATTTTGAAACGAAGGCTTCCAGTTCTCAGACTGGGAATAAACACAAAATTAGAAACTGCATATATTATTATCATTGCAGTACCTGTCTTACGAGTCGTTGTTATTGAACAAAATGAACCTGATCCTGTCGATGATGATGACACACCAGATGATAATGATGATGAGTATGATAATTTAGGCAACAATATTCGAAATATGCCAAGTCTCCAAGCAAGAAGAAATTTTGTAATGAACTATTTTGCTAATTATTAACTTGATGTCCTAGAAATTTTTTAATTGAAGCTGAATTTAATCTCTTAAATAATTAGGTGAAACGATCCTATAGCATATAATTGGTACTCTAATTTTCTTTGTGTAATATATGTTTCCTTGAGTGGCATTTAGTAATTGATGATATTAACACGAACACAATTATATGGATAACAATTACTTTAATAAATAACTTGTGACGTTTCGACGATGATTCTTTCGTCTTTATCAAGCAATGATGCTTGATCCTTTTTCAATATTCAATTGCAAACTTTGTATAAATAATTTGATTTTTCTAAAGACAAAAAAAAATCACGCAACAGCTAGGTTCTACCACTAATCAGCCCTTAAACTACCCCTCTGGTGTGATTAAGTTTTCACCTCTTTTAATAACAGATTAAACCTTAATCATCTTTGGAGCATACCGTTTTAACTTTAGTCAGTGATTAGTCGAATTTTAATCTATGACAAGCCTTACAGTCTGGTGTAGAATAGCACCTGATACCTGGTACAATCATTTCAAATCGCTGTTAAATGACAATAAGTTTGAAACTAGCCAAGAGTTGAGTGATACAGCATTTGCGGCAGTTGAGCAACATGTTCCTGTTTTTGATGAACTTTTAGATGCAGAAATAACAGCAAATGAGATTATCTGTACCATCACACAACTTCCTAACTCGAAATCCCCTGGTCCGGATGGCATCGTTAATGAAATGATAAAATGTGCCGTGCACCTAATTTTACCTACCTACTGGTTCTTTTCAATACGATACTGTCAAGAGGTCATTTCCCTTCAAGCTGGAGCAAGGTAGTAATATGTCCAATTCATAAGGCAGGCTCATCACAAAAACCGAAAATTATCGTGGTATATCCCTGGCATCAGTTATAAGCAAAGTGTTTTAAATTCCAGACTAACAAAATGATGTAATATAAACAATAAATACAAGCTACAATCTTGTATACAGATAAATAGGTCACAAGTCTCCGATTATTTTGCATGCACGATAGGAACAAAACAAGGATGTATCCTAAGTCCATTGCTATTCACAATGTATCTTAATGAATTAATCGAATCATTAAATGCATACCAGTGTCAAGGTATTTTTGTTAATAACCAAATAGACAATATTGTATCTTTGTTATATGCCGATGATATAGCTTCAGTAGCTGACACAGTTGGGAGGTTACAGGCTCAAATAAATTGCATAAATAGTTTCTGCAAGACGTAAGGAATGAAAATTATTCTCAAGAAAACTAAGGTTGTTGTATATATGTGGTGGTATACTTAAGGCAAATGAGCATTGGTATTTAGATGCTACGGAGATTGAAACTGTAAATCATTATAAATATTTAGGGGTATTTTTCACACCAACATTATGTTGGACCCAGGCTGTCGATTCATTATCCCAACAGGCAAGGAAAGCTTCGGGAATGGTAATTTCTTTTGTAAATAGGTATAACGTTAGTATCAAGACGCTTTCTGCAACAGTGTGGGGATACGAACGTAAGGATGCAAAAAAAAAATGTCAACTCAGATTTCCCAAGGCAATACTACACGTAAGCTCATCCACTAGTAACCATGCTGTTTATGGCGAACTTGGCCGATTCCCTTTATACATTTATTTTTTAATATCATTGGTTAAAAATAATGTATTTACCTGAGGCATGCTATGATATGCTGTTACAGCTTCATAACGCTGGAAGGACAACATGGGCTTCGCATGTCAGCAATTTATTGAATGTAAATGGGTATACCTATGTAACAAGGTGTTACTAATGTTAAAGGTTTCTTATATTCGTTTAAACAAAGATAACAAAATTGTTGTAGACAGATCAGATATCATACATGATAGCCCAAAGTTAGAAAATTATAGTTTAATTAAGACTAATCTAGAATTAGATTTCGGGGAAGGGAGGGTTTGATTCTTCCAAATGTACAGGCCTGGGGTGGAGCAGACACTTTATTTAGAAATTAGGATTAAGGGTCTTGATACTGGGTTTTCTTCTGTTCTTATTCTGATCTGAAATTAGAAAAAAATAACTAATGGGAAGCATAGTATCTGTTATGTACTTATTGTTTTTAGTTTACTATGAACAATATTATCATTTAAGTTCTTATTTTTTGAATATGCAACTATCATTTTCTGCCATGAAGACATGGGGGAATTTCTCTGTAAGGCTCTTATAGTGGGCATGAACTATCTTGCTTGCTCGATTGCTGGTTGTTTTGAACGGGACAACAAAGGGTGCTATGCCTACATTATGATGAATATTTAGTCCTATAGATCTTGCTGTATTCGATGTCTCAATCCAATGGGTCTATCTAGATTGACGGAATTTGGTAGTTTCATCTTTGGGCAAGTCAATTTCTATACGCTCAATCGGGATTAGGGTGAGATCGTCTATTGAATGGTCATCAAGGTTGAAATGATTAGAAGCAGGCTTGTCTTTCTTTAATTTGATATCCAACCTGAGTTCGTAAATTATTCTTAGTTTCTCCTACATATTGTTTGGGGCATTTCTTGCATAAAATTAAATATATTACATTCGAATGTTCACATGTTAGATGTTCCTGGATCGAGTACCTTTTATTCTTATAGTTGATTACAAAATAATGAGTTTCTGATATACAGGGGCATCTGTAGGAACCACTTTTGTAATAACGACCACTTTTGTAATAAAATCAACCGCTTTTGTAATACTTACCAGTTTTGTAATAACATGCACCCATTTTTGTAATAAAATTAGGTCACCACTTTTGTAATAAGCTCGCCAGCTTTTGTAATACTATCAGGGTCACCACTTTTGTAGTAAAGCTTCCGCACTTTTGTAACAGCCAAGTTTATTACAAAAGTGGGTAACCGATAGTAGTTTATTACAAAAGTGGGTAACCGATAGTAGTTTATTACAAAAGTGGTCAGGCTTCATGTCAGCCTTGAAATTAGGAATGAGCAGCATCCAACGGGTATGCAGTCATTTAGGCACAGATTTTTTAAGCACACCTCATTTAGACACAGTACTTTAGGCACGCTTCTTTTAGGCACACGGTCAGATAGACACATGCCATTTAGACACAGTATTATTTAGGCACATTGATTTAGGCACATCTTCTATTAGGCACATATTCAATTAGGCACACTCTAATTAGGCACACTCATATTTGGCA